ATAATTCCTTACCTGCCCATACCCATCTGATTTTTTTTTTCACCACCCTATAACGACTGTACCCATGCTTTTTTTTTCCTTGGCCGCCCATACCTGCGGTTTTTCCCTTTTCACCGCCAATACTCGCCCATGCCTGCCCGTGATCTCCACGCAGTGCAACCGTGTCTGCCCTGAAATCCACAAATAAAATTTATGTCTGCCCATACCGATGCCCCCCTCTGGAAGGGTTCCCGTACCTGCCGATAACCTGCCGGTTACAGTCGGGTACGGTCGGGTACGGCCAACGGTTACCCAGTTGCCACCTCTGCCTTGCACCCTTAACACCCTTAAGGAAAAAGTCCGAAGGGTGAAAATGAGAATAAAAAATGAAGGAGGAAGTGCAGGTGCGTTGAAAAGCGAACGTGGTAGACTCTTCACCAAAACTACAAACCAATGAAACAAAGAAGAATGCAATGAAAAAAAAAAAGATGTTTGTGTCACCCTACTTTTATTTTTATTTTTTCTCTCTCTGCATATTGATCTTCCTTTTCTGCTCCTCTCTCCCTTGTGTTTGACACCTCTTCCTTAACTCTGCCTCTTTCCCGTAGCGTGCAAGTGGGTTGTTATGGCATACAGAGATGGGGGCAGCTCGCACTCAACTTCACCAACGTGGTGGGCCTTGTACGTAAGAGGCACGGTGGAGAAGTTAAGAAGACGGAGGAATTGAATGATTTCAATGTGTTTTGTTTTTTACTTTTATCTTTTGTTCAATGTAAAAACATTTTGTAAAACAATGAAAGAAACAAGAATACAGTGAAACAAAGAAGGAGAGGGAGTATGTCATTCTAGTTTTGTCTGTCTCTTTGTCTGTCTGTCCTTTCATTTTTCTTTTCTTCGTTCATCTTATTTCTTCTTCTACTTCACGTGCTTACGCTCGTAGTCACTAGTTTTGTGACTATATATATAAAAAAAACCGACGACTTACGCCTTACCATGGCGTATATATATTGACGATATATATATATATTATATATATCGTCATATATATATCTGTGTGTGTGTGTGACAGGGTGTGAACCGACATTCAGTAGAGTTTCCCATTTGATACGGGTGAGTTATAGTCTAATTTGATTTTCGTAGGAGGTACCTTGAGGGCAGCGGTTGGTGCTTAACCTCAGGATATCAGTTGTTGGGCAGTCGTTGATGCTTAACCACAACCGGGGTTAAGATGGATTATCACTTTCAGTGTAATCGGTTAGGGGATTTTGCAAACAGTTGAGGGTTCAGCCTCCTGACGAGTCTCCAAAGAATTTACCGGGCAGTTCTGTTTGACGATATATACCACGACTTTGATAGCACCCTGCTACAGTTTGCTCTGGTCAGGTTGAGCATCTGTGGTCGGGGTCATCACTACTCGGCCATGTTTTACCTCTAGTGCCAGCGGAGTGTCTGGAGTGTATTTTTAGGTTGTGGTAGACCTACCATTGTTTTGTGGGTGTTTTGCTGGTGTTTTGCTGGCTTGTGATTGGGTGTGAACCGACAGTCGGTAGAGTTTCCATCTGGTGTGGGTGAGTGACTTTGATTTCCGTCGCAGGTACCGTGAGGGCAGTGGTTGGTGCTCACCTCAGGGTATCAATTGTCGGGCACTTGTTGATGCTTAACCACAACCGGGGTTAAGGTGGATTATCACTTACAATGTAATCAGTTAGGGGGTTTTGCAGATTGTTGAGCGTTCAGGCTCCTGACGAGTCGGTGAAACTCCGACGAAACAGTTTGTCACAGCCCCTCGATTGTTGTCCTCTTCTCCCTCTCTGCCGGCGGTTTATCGGGCAGTTCTGTTTGACGATATATATTGTCACATAACTATGAACTAAAAGAGCGCGCTTTACGAAACAAACAGTAAAGATCAAACAAAACAAAACAAAGATGAGGGGCACACAAACTATTCATTTTTCTCATTCTTCTTTTAACTCCCCCCTTACCATGCCTCTCATGCACAAGGCTTGCCACGTTGATGAAGTTTAGCGCAAGTTGCCCGCATCCCTATGTGCCATAAGGACCCACTTGTACGTTGTGAGAAAGAGGCAGAGTAGAGGAGGTGGTGATAAACACAAGGAAGAGAGATGAAGAGAAGAAAAATGAAGAACGAAAAAGGGAAAGTAAGATAAGAAAAGGCTCAAGAATGAGTCTGCCCTTGACGACAGAGAGGACACACATTGTAAGGATGAGATGGATGGGCACATGGAAGACCTAGCTGCACATTCTCATTACAACAATTGCCACACGGCTGGCATTGGGCATGCCCAACATACACTCTGGACAAATGGCATGTCGATTGCAGGCCAAAATAAAGGAAGAACACTCACCACAAAAGACCATGTATTCAGTATAGCGCCCATGGCCGCAAAATGGACATATAGTGTCCGGATGCGGAGGGTGCCTGCAATCAGGAACGGAGGGGCAGTCCTCTACACACACATGCAAAAACCATGTCATTGTAGTGATTGTGACAGAGACGATGACAACCACAGTTGAGTGTAACAATGTCTGTACTAGTGCAAGGAGAAGGTTGTCGAGTGTTCGTACGTTGTCCTGCTGCAGCACGGGGCCAGAGGGATTATCTTCAACATAAAAGAGATTGCGGACAGTTTGGTGTGGCAAGAAAACAGCATCATTATGTAAGAAATCCGTAACATCAATCATGGTATGGACCATGATGCCATTGTCTCACAACTCCCAGTGGTAAGAGATACGTACAATGGCCATGTAATGGCCAGGTCCGTGCACAATGCAGGCAGAGATGTGGGATGAAGGATTAAACCACTGACCTGGTCAAGCATTGTGTAGCTCAAGTCCAAGGTCCCTCATAGCTACTTGTAGGACAGCAAAGGTAAAGCGTCTTTCCCTGGTATAATTACAATCCTCTGGCTGTACTTTTTATATTGTATATTTTTTTATGACAATATACAAGATTTCTATCAACATATTAATATAATATTCATAGGCAGAAAAGATCAGCAACAAGCTGAAGGGCAATACTACTGCAATAGCAAGGAAGTCTGATGGTGTATAAAATGGGCGGTGGAGAATGTGAAGACAAATATTAGTTGCAGTCAGACCACAAAAATTGGTGAGGATCTCAGGCTGGGGTGCCGGATGCTTCCCAACAATTTGCAGATCACCCAGTTGGTGTTGCAATCCCGAAATGTCTTGGGTTGTTTGCTGATCAGTCATTTGCAGATCACCCATGTGGTCTACGTGTGGCGGGGCACAAATTTGTGGTTCATCCAAACGATGCTGGTCAGCCATTTGTAGATCCCCCATGTGGTCTACGCCTTGTGGGGTTAACTGCAATCCGGGCAGATCATGTTCCAATCCCTCAACGTTTGGGACCACATCCTGAGTAGGGACTGTCCCTGGAATTGGGAGTGTACTCTGGGCAGGGATCACATCCTGTTGTACAGGTGAGTCATGAATATCTAAAGCTGAAGGGCATAAAACATGGTGTTGTGGCTGCCTGCAGGCAGCTGGCCTGTCTACAGGAGGCATAGGAGCGGATATTGCCGTTTGGAACAAAGGAACTGTAATAACCTGTGGAACAGGCACAAAGAGAATTGGGGCAGACAAAGAAACAGGCTGCTAGGAGATGGGGGTGGCAAGGAGGAATGTAGTGCGGTCAAGCACAGAAAGAGATGAAAGGGGGCTGGATAGGGCAAGATTTCAAAACAGAGGACCTGAGTGTCGGAGAGACTGATGTTCTTTGTCTTGGGGATAATAAGAAATTAAATTCAATAAATGAATAAATATAGGGTAGCCTGCTATTCATTCATCCCGCCGATTAGGCGAGGCTAGGTGCCTTTCTTTCTTTTTCTTTTCTTTTTTTGGTTGTTTCTTTTCTCTAATCTAAGGCGCCTTTTTTTTAGGCGCCTTTCTTAAGCGGAAAGGGGCCACTTGTTTTGGTTTGTGTAGGTTTCAAACACCAAAGGAAGCTGTAGCAGCAAAAAGTAGAGTAAACTGCAGCAGTGGAAATGGGCCACTTGTTTTGGTTTGGGTAGATTTCAAACAGCAGAGGAAACTGCAGCAGTGGAAACCGCAGCATTGGAAACCGCAGCGGTGGAACTGCAGCAGCAGAAACTAATGTAGCAGTGGAAACTGCTATAGCAGAAACTGCGGGATTTAAAACCGGAGCTGTAGAAGCGCTGCTGCTGCTTGTGCGTTAAGGCAACTTGGGCACTTCGCGAACGAAGGAGGAAGGGGGCGCATGAGAGATTACTCCATAGCTAGGGTAGCGGGAGATAGGAAGTGAAGTGGCCATAGCCGCCAAGTGTGAAGTCTACCTGAGTGGGTGTGTCCAGGGCTACGATATACGTTAGAGATAGCGAGTGAGGCAGAGCGAGCCAAGCCAGAGAGAAGAGCGAGACTGCAGAGAGAGAGGTAGGAAGGAGGATAGAGAGATGCCATAGCCGTCATCCGGTTGAGACCAGTTCCGAGTGTGTATGTGTGTGTGGTAGAGCCACTGGAGACATAAACATTTCTTTGTATAATAATGATAATTTTGGTGACGGTTTCCACATCTGTTGATTGCGTCTCATCTCTGGTCTCTCATGTGTGAACTCTCGTGTGAATGTTCATTGATGTATGTGAGGTGAAACTTGTTGAGAGCTTGGCTCATTTCATTTTCTCTTTTTTAAATTATCCTTGTACAGGGGCCATGCTAACCTTCTTTGTATCGTTTCGATTTTAATGGATGTCCCTAAGGACTTCAATATCACGTTCAACTTTGAGGTCACTCCAATTGCTTCTATTTTGCATCCAAATTTGCTGGCAACTCAGGGAACAACATGTTGACAGTTCCACGTAGGAGGGTTCTGGGCTCCACTTGCATTGCCGGAGTGCACTTTGATTCTGCCTTCTTTTAGCTGATTGCCTTCCATTTGGTTTGGTTACTCGTGATTCGCTGTTCTTCAGGATGGCACCTTCTGAAAGGTAGGGATGAAATGAAAGACAGAAATGGCCTTCACCTGACAGGAGCGTTACTTGGCCTCACTGGAGTAAGACAGGTTATTTGTTTCCCTGAGCTGCATAAATAGATCACAAAGGAAGAAAAAAAATTCATGGCAACAAGAGAGAGATGTAGATGGCTGATAAGTATCACTGCACAAAACAAATTATGCAGTGTGCACTTGAATCCAGTCATTGCCACTCATTGGCATAGCTACTGTGCCTGGAATATGAAGTGGATTCTCAATGTGGTATAGCAAGAAGATTGCTTTAAATGGTCTACTGCAGACTCCCCAAGCAGCGAGGTAACAGGCCAGCACACGCATACTTCAGCATAAGCACAATCAGACAATATCAGAATGAGATAGCAGTGATGTCAAATGACAAGGCAGTCTAAAGAGTAGCCTACTTGTGTGGTGTGCATTGTGCACTCCTTTCCCTGTGACGACCAGCATTCCAAGAATTAATCAATGTCCTGCCCTTTTTCAATGGCTTTGCGTTAACTTAAACATTAAGTATGACACCATGAAAACGTTCATTAAATCATTCATCAGCCAGCAAAGAACAGACAAAGCCGTAACAAGGGTTGAACAACACCAGACAAATGTGTGCAATCACTCCAAGGTTGAAAAACTTTGACGCACACAGATCTCTGGACAAACTCGAAGTGACCCTCCAGGAAAAAAAGTACGTACCTTTGCACCACCGTGCAAGGAGCGTTTCCGATTGTGATTGATATCCTGGATATATTGGTGCTGAACCCTGAACCTCTTAGCACCAAAGGCATTTTCCCTGAGTCGGCACTCATGTTGTAATTAATCCATGTTATCTCTGGGAACACCTACATGCAATGTCACAAAGTCAATTCATATTGCCATCAGGAGGAGGGTACGCTCCCAGAAAAGAACACACCAATAATGGATGGCGACATAACTCCAGCATTTGCTGCATTGCCCAGATTTGAAGGGGAGAAAAATGGTGATCTTCCTCATTGGGGTCTGAAACATGGTGCAGCGGTCAACAGCGCCAATAAGACACATACGAAGACACATATATAACCGAGTGTTGCTTGGAATGGGCTTCCTTTTCTAGGATCTTCAAAGTGCCTGACAAGGAGAGGAGCTTGAGCGTGAATCCATTTCCAATCCATTTCCAAACCCTAAACATCTTTCATATCTGTTAAATTTGGAGATTAGCATGTTCCCTGTGCAAGGATGACTCATAAATCGAGAAATGGTCCAAATTTTTAAGAAGGGGAGAAGCTTCCTTCATCCCCCCCTGCCTCCCCCTTCCAACACACTCGTCCCTTGTTCTTTAAGTGGATAGCAGGCCCTGACACAAAGGGAATCTTAGATAGTAGAATTGCGGAAGTTGATGATGGCATATCACTTTTGTTGCAGCGACTGACCATACACCGCTCCTCTCTTTGGGTTGGGCGGTCGGATTCATGATGTTGAGGTTGGTTGTCGGACAGGGAACAGCTGGAGGCAGTGATCTCAGATGGACAGTGATGATTCCGCGGTAACCGACCGGACGTCCGTACCGGGTTCCAGACAGTCTGGAACAACATGTCCAGTGTCTGGTATCTGGTCCTTACGTCTGGATGGAGGCCCCCAGGGCAAAAACCGAAAAAAAAGGGGCGGCCCAGGACATTTTCGGGTCCTGGCCGCCCCTTGAAAAATAATGGGGTGATTTTTCAGTGTCGTTTCACCCCACCGGACAGGGCCTAGAGGTCCGGACACAAGACACTGCAGGTTTTCGGGGTGGCGGGTTTCACACTGGCCTGCGCAATTTCAAAGCGGCTTTTTCGACATGCCGCCCGCCGCTGCTGCCCTTTGCCGAGAGAGAGAAAGAGAGAGAAAGAGAGAGAGGGAGGGGGGGGAGGAGAGAGAGAGAGAGAGAGAG